GAGAGAGAGAGAGAGAGAGAGAGAGAGAGAGAGAGAGAGAGAGAGAGAGAGAGAGAGGGGGGTGAGTGATGGTAGTCTCGCGCACGGCAAGCCGAGATAAAAGCGTTTACAGGGAAGCAACGCAACGGGGGATAGTTCACCGACTGGGGCGTGGTGGGCACCATCGCGGTATACACGAGGGTCAAGGTTAACACGAGAGAGAGCCCCATATGCCAACGCGGTGGCTGACGTGGCTAGGTGCGTATCCAACCCTCTTTTTTATTTATTTCCGACGAAAGGAGCAACGTGGCGACCCTCGGATCTCGTGTCGTAAAACCTGGTCTTCGTTCATATTTCCCTTAATCTGTTCGCGAATCGAGATCTTTTTTCGCGAAACTTGTAGCTCCTCGCGATGCTCGCCCGTTCTGATTGCGAATCGGGATCCTCGTCCCTCTTCGAAACGCGGTACTGCGAAAAGAATATTTGTTCGTATATGAACCTGTGCATTTATAAGCGTGGATAATTTTTCAAATCAGATACTCGACGAGCGGATATTAACGTATTACATATTTATTTAATGCATATTTATTTAATACATTGTAGCGTTCACGAGTGAATAACTCGTGTGTTGATTTTACGAGAACGCGCCGCGGTGAATGAGTTATCGGATTGGCGCTGCGCGATTGCAGCTATAAATGTAATAATCGTAATGAAAGATCACACGTAGTACTTATAATACAAATCAGAGAACGCAAAGCGTGTTCGTAGTGCGAGCTACATAGACAGCGGGGATGATTCACCCCCGATAGGGGATTTACGATTGTTACGAGGGTCAAGGTTAAAGAGGTAGTTCCACATGCGGTGCGTTAGCTCAAGTTGCACGTGTGCGCTTCTCTCTCTCTCTCTCTCTCTCTCTCTCTCTCTCTCTCTCTTTCTCTCTCGCTGCTACAATAAAAAGAGGATTTCTAGGAGAAAACCGCAAATTGTCGGATTTACAGAATTATTTACAAACGATTATGATATCTCGTATCTCTCGTATCAAGCACTAAGAGAAAAAAATAATTGATCTAACAAAAAATTATAGTTATTTTTGGCCCTACCCAATCAATAGTAATAATAAATTTAATTATTCTATAGAACTCTGTGGAAAATATAGGCTACAAGAAACCCTGCACATCTCACACTCTGCCCCCCTCCCTCCATGATTTTACTTTAACACTTTGTTATTTAAATTTAGATATTTTATATACAAGAAACTCGGGAGAAATTACTCCTTCTACCGATTCAATCAGAAACATTTTTGCTAATTTACTTCAAGAGAGCACGATTCCATTGTAATGACTCTTTTGAAGGTTCAGTTCCCGACGACTTTGTTCTTAATTAGATAGATTGTGTATTTCAACTGACGATTTTTCATGGAATGCTATCGTGAGATAATTAGTTAAAGCAGGAAAAGTGCAGAAAGATCCTTACATTTTTTGCGTTTTTTTTTATTAGAGATGATTTCTGTCTGCTTATTGTACGTGAAATAATAAAGCATATATGGCGCGTTTCTCGATGACTGTTTCTGATGATTGAAGCGCCACGGTAATTTGATACTTCATATTTTTCGATGTATTGTTTTCTCAATATTTGGCGAGGCTACTTTTATAATCTATCCGGGATCCT